TCCTCAGCACCACACAAAAAATAAATAAATAAATAAATAAAGGTATTGTGTCCATCTACAACTAAAGAATATACATTAAAAAATGTACATGCTCTTTTACAAGTGGATTTTATATGTAAGAATTGCTTGGGTTAGGGCTGTGGCTCAGAGGTAGAATGCTCGCCTATCATGCATGAGGCACTGGGTTCAATCCCCAGCACCACATATAAATAAAATAAAGATATTGTATCCACCTATAACTAAAAAATAAATATTGAAAAAAAAAAAAAGAATTGCTCCTAATGGGCTGGGCTATAACTTAGTGGTAGAGTGCTTTCCTTGCACAAATGAGGCATTGGGTTTGATCCTCAGCATCACATAAAAATAAATAAATAAAGATATTGTGTCTATCTACAACTTAAAAAAAATAATAAAAAAAGAATTGCTCCTAAGAAGATAAAAATGTACTCAAAAATTTAGCTCTAAGAATGTTAATGAACACACTATATCCATTAATAGTGAAAAAAATCAGAAAGAAATGTGCAACATTAGGGGATCACTTAATCCCTAAATGTGATCTTGGAAATGACTTTGTTTCCAAGTAAGTAAAATTTTTAGATTTTTAAATTTCCTTTCATCTTTCATATTTCTTGTGACACTTTTGAAAGAAATAAAACAGAGTTTGAAAGTTACAAAGCCTAGTAATGTTGTTTTTTCCATTCTTGTTAAAGTCTGTAGAGATAATTTTTAGCCTCTGGCTGTAGAATTTCCCTCTGTTGCTATCTCAGGGAACTTCAGAGTCTTTAAGCAGAAGTTAACAATGCAACACCTTACTTTTCAATGACCTAATATCCCATTTTTCCATTAAAAAGAAATGGGGTCACTTCCAAATGTTTTAGATTCTGTCTTCATTCATAACTTTGCATCTCCAATGGTTCTGTGGCTTTTGCTCTGCTTTGCTTTTAGATTAGAATGCCTTCATTGCTTTTTCTTTCATTTTTTTTATTAAAAAGTAACATATTTATTGGAAAAACTATTCAGAAAATACATAAATATTTCTTAATTGCAAACCAAAGATTGACACTCAGCATTTTTATAACTTTTGAAACTTTATGCTGGGAATATTTTTTTTATCTGCTGTACCTAAATGGGATCCCGCTATTCATTTTACTTTCTTTTTATATACCTTTACTTTATTTGTTTATTTTTATATAGTGCTGAGGATCAAAACCAGGACCTCACACGTGCTAGATGTGTGCACTACCACTGAGCCACAACCCCAGCCCTACTCATTTTACTTTTATTATCTGTTTTTTTTACCAAATGATTTATCTTACCAAGTTGATTAATACCATTCTTATAGGGTATTGATTTAACATTTAGCCATCTTATAAGATAAGTTTTTACTTTCCTGTACTTTCTCCAAACTCTCCCCACCCCTTAGTGACCTGCCCCATGGTACCATAATCCTAAACCAAACCCATGCTATTCCCCACCCACCTATGTCTGCCACAAGCACCCACGAAGCTATCCCATAGCACCACAACTATAACTCAAACCCTTACCAAACAAAAGCTGAACACCCGAATATCTCAGGCGCCTCTCTCCAAATAAGTCTTTGTGTGGATCTCTGCCTGTCTCTGTCCTTCATTTCTCACTCGCCCGTCTCTCACTTTCTCATTTTCCTTTCAATTCTACATCATCATTATTATAGCTGAAAAACAACGTATTATATGGCTACAATTTTTTTTTATCTAATTCAGGATGTGTCAACATTGACGACGGACATTTTGGGCTGGATAATTCTTTGTTGTGGGAAGCAATGTTATACTTTGTAGGGTGTTTAGTAGCCTCTCTGTCCTCTGTATCTGTACTAGATACCAGCAGCACCTTCTCCCAAGTCCTGACAATGGAAAGTATCTCCAGATGTCTCACAGTGGACAATATTTCCCCAGCTGAGAACCAATGATCTAACCGATCTGCTACTGTTTGACTTTTAGGTTTTTATCTATTTTGTTGCAATTTAAAACAGCAACACTTGAAGTTCCTGACATAAAGAGCATAAACCCAGCACATCTTTCAATGATTTCTATACTTATTCTTATTAAAGAATAGGACATTTAAAATTTTTATGTCTATTCCCAGATTGCCCACCAGAAAGATTGTATCAATTTACAGTACCACTGAAAGAACATAAATGTCATTTCTCCTGTTTTAGTCAGCTTTTTCGATAGTGTGACTAAAGGATCTGGCCAGCACTACAGAGGAGGAAGAGTTTATTTGAGGGCTCGTGGTTTCAGAGGTCTTAGTCCATAGAAGGCTGGCTCCATTTCTCAGGGCTCAAGGTGAGGCTGAACATCATGGTAGCATGTGTGGCAGAGGGAAGCAGCTCATATCACCGTGATCAAGAAGCAGTCTCTACTCACCAGAAAATTTATATACCCAAAAGCCACACCTCACTTTCCATCTCCTCTAGCCACACTCTACCACTTCAGTTAATCCCATCAGAGATTAATTCACTGATTAAGTTAAAGGTATGACCCAATCATTTCTCCTCCAAATCTTCTTGCATTGTCTCACACATGAGCTTTTGGGGGATACCACATCTAAACCATAACACCCTGATCCTATAAATCTAGGTATTATCAATCTTTTTAATCATTCTTAGTAATAAAACAAAATATTACTTTGCCCTTTCAATTTGCAATTCTTTAATTGCTATCAAGGTTGATAACTTTTACTATGTTTATTGGCTATTTATATTACTGCACTTATGAACTAATAATGTCCTTTGCCCATTCTTGATTTTTAAGAGCTATTAATTCTGTCCTTCAATTTATTTTCTTGTAACTTTCATGCTGTGTTTTCCTGTGCAGAAAGCATACATTTTTATGTTGTCAGATTATTAGCCTTTTGTTATGGTTTTACCTTTAATGGTGTAATATTTAGAAAGAACACCTCTGAAATCTTAAACTTATGTTTCACTCTATTGGCCCTCTATTTTCCTATGTCTTCCACACTCTGACATTGAACCTTTTTTTTTCTATTTCCTTTTCCCATAATATCTAGACAAGAGCATCCTAACTGTATGGATGCATCTTCTGAAAAATCTTTTGGAGATGCAGGCTTGGAAGGGAAAAAAGAGATTTTGCATTTCCAACAAGGTATTGTCAATATCCCTGGACCCCAGTTTGGGTCACAAGGTCCTAAATCTTCAGATCTCAATCTTCTGTTTTCCTTATTCCATTCTTTGTCTGTCTCTGAATTTGCTTCCCTTTCTACCTATTATGTGCAACCCAAGGGCAACAATATCAACTCTAATTCACCCCTTTGTTTTTCTGGAACAACAATTCTGGCACTCTCTACCCCAGTGAAGCCATCATATCTCCTAGTTGCTAGTCACAGCAAGTCACAGAGGTTCCACTTGCTTCTGTTATAAACATATGATTTCTAAAGTCCATCAGCAACCCTTTCCTGTGTTCCCAGCCACTTCCCTTTCTCATTCTTTATAGTAACTTTGCCTAAATAACTAATCTCTTCAAGACCTATGCCCCCTCTCAGGGCTCTTAGTCAATGAACAATGAAAAGGGAACTTCTTCAAATCATCTGGTGAAAGTCATAAGCATACTAAGTACTGCATATCCCAAAAAGTCCACTCAAAAACAGTGTCATATAAAGATTTTCCAACAATTAGAAAATTACTTTTAAAAAAAAGAAAATTACCTTTAAAGATTTATGAACTAAACTGGATTATTTATTTAATAAACACCTATATTTTTACAATGGGCCTGCCAACCTTATTTAGGTAATTACAATTTCCATTTTACAGACCAGGAAACCAAGACACAGTGAGTTGACAATGCCACTGAGGTGTCAGAGCAAGGACCTGTATCAGCCTGAGACTCCATGGTTTTAGTTCTTAAAACTACTTGTGTTGCCTCAGAAGAGTACCAGGGGAGCTCAGGGATCCCTAGAGCTCAGTTCCAGGAACAGCCTCTTTATCTGCAACAAAGGGCCAGGCAATCACTCTGGCAGTTCTCAACTCTGGAAGGCACATTGGACTCACTCATCACTGTCTTAAATTATCGTTTCTTAAGCCTCCCCAAGAGAGATTCTGCTCATCCAATTGAGGTGGGACCCTAGGATCTTCATTTTAACCTCTTAGAGAGGAACGTTATCTCAAATCAGTGGCTTTCAAACTTTCTGCATTCCCCTGACCCTTCCACATGTCCATAATACCCTAACAGGGCTCCTAAGATCCATCAGATACATTGTGAAGTCTGTGGCCCCTGCCACAAACCACCTCTCAGGTTCCAGTGGCCTTTATTTTCCTTAGTGCAAAAAGATCACCCCCCATCCTTCTAGAAAGCAGAGTTTTTAGAAAGAGAGAACYGAAAACAGCCTAAGGAATACAGGGGAGTCGGATTTGTGACAGTGGCTCTATATTTTTCAATGCGCGTTTTAAACTTAACTCTGATTTGGTCAGACCCCATCCAAATAAATTTGTCCGAAACTTCTGTATTCCACACTTGATGGCACTTCAAACTCCTACACACATACAAACTAGTTCTTCCTTTTTACAGTCTAGGCACTTGCAGAACCGGGCTGGAGAGCCTGGCGCGATTTCCGGCCGCGGTCCGGATTCCAGGTGGGCCGAGCGCCGCTAACCCCAGRGAAACTCGCCACAGCCGTCTACACTGGATGGAGCGCCCTGGGACCTGCCCTGAGGCGCAGCCATGGCCGAGGACCGGGCAGACTTCCAGCCCTGGCGCGGGAAAGGGCGAGTCCGCGAGCCGGAGCTGGGTTTCCAGCTGCCCTGCGACGCCCACCTGCGCTAGTCGCCGCGCCTTAAAAGCCCAAGAGGTTCGGGAACCGGCTCTCCGAGGTGCGAAGGCGCCCAGGCCCCGCCCAGGAGAGACCTGCGCGGCACCCAAGTGGGCCGGCGGGACGTCCGGGGGGCGGGTCCCGGGTGCGACCGCCCCCTGACCGCGCTATAACTTCGGGCCCCGCCGGGCCACCGCGGGAGGTTGGAGATGTGCGCCTGAGCCCTGGTGAGACACGGTGCGCGGGGCTGAGCGCAGCTGCTGCAGCTGCTGGACGGCGGCGGGAGGTGGAGACGCCCGGAGGAGGAGCGGGAGGGGCGGGCGATTGGGTGGAAGGCAGCGGGGGGCTGTCTGTGCTCCCGGTCACCGGTTGCACTGCTAAGCCGGAGGGTGTTGCTTCCAACTTTTACCTCCCTAGGAAGCAGGGAGCGTGTCAGGAGCCCCTGAGAGTAGGAGGCTGAGCCGGGGCTCTTCATCTGTTCTCAGCTTTATTCTTATTCATCTCTAGAACATGGACTTCGCGTGCCTGTGGCTAGGGCTTCTGCTGCCTTTGGTAGCTGCGCTGGATTTCAGCTACCACCACCAGGAAAGGATGGAAGCGTTTTTGAAGAGCGTTGCCCAAAACTACAGTTCTATCACTTACTTACACAGTATTGGGAAATCTGTGAAAGGTATGACTCGTCTCCTGCACACTTTCCCAAACCCTCAGCCCTCCCTTTTATTCATTAAATATGCCTCCCCTTCCTGTCCCCTCTCTACGAAGTTACTCGGATGGGCTCCCAACAGGTAAACCAGTGCCTTGCAAGTTGGTGGGTTTCTGGTTTCGGGTTTTTTTTTTTTTTTTTTTTTTTTTTTTTTTTTTTTGGTCGATGGAGTAGTGGGAAGAACTGAATGTTACTGAGCTTCTTCATTGTAATTTAGTGTCATTGAGTCCTTTGCATTTTTGGTGCTACGTCGTTTTGAATCATTCAGACATTGTTTATCTAGAATATCTAGGATATGGGTTTTATTTATATATGGGTCTTAGTTCCTTTTCAGGATAAAACGTCCGCCATAGGAGTCCGTTTATTCATCCCCGTTTTCCTTTTTGTTGGGTTCTTTAAATATGATTTGGACTGTTAGTACTATTTCTTCAAATCTCTTAAATTAAATTAGTGCAGTTTACTGATGAGATTTCTATGTTATGTATAATTAGCCCTATGGCTTAAAGTTCTGCCAAAAAAAAAAAAAAAGGTGGTTCTTTGACTATAGGCTGTATTTAAAATGTATCCATTTGAGGAAGACAATTGCTAGATAATAACTGTTAGCAGTGACTGAACTCTTCCTAGCATTTTCATTTGTTTTCTCGTTTTCATTTAGAAAGTATATGTAGTTTCATTTTTTTGTAAACCGCGAATTCGAATTCATAGAAAAAGATTAAATTTTTTGTTGAAACTCACCCAGATGATGTGGATTTTATAGCCTGAACTAACTTCTGGACAAGACAAGTAATTTTATGAGATGTTATTTTCTAATCTTTTGTTACATTGATGCCCCCAAAGAGATTACCAGAAAACTTAAATTCTTTAGTTAAAAGTTTTTTAAGGCTTATAGAGATCCCAACTCTGTAAGGTGTGTTCAAATTCTATCTGGATTTTAGCTCTGAATTTTTGAGTCAGTTGGGAATGTGTATATATATTAGATGGACAARTATCTTTATTTTATTTATTTGTATGTGGTGCTGAGGATCGAACCCAGGGCCTCACACATGCTAGGCAAGCATTCTACTGCTGAGCCCCAGCCCCAGCCCTTAATTACCATATTCTTAAGTAATTATTTTCCCAAAAAATTGAAGTCATGGTTCTCATATTAAAGAAAAAGTATTAACATGCAATGCAGAATGAAAAATCCTTGGTTGTGTGTACTAGTGCCTATATTTTTAAACAGCATTGCCAAAGAGTTGATGCCAAAATTACACTATATTGCTCTATAATCCAAAATTATAGAGGCTGTATGTGTGAGAAATCATATCTTGAATCAGCATATGTATTTAACCTTTTGAAACCATTTCCCCCTCAGGCTAGATTAAAACAATTTAAAAAGATCTAAGATTGCTAATTATGTTAATAAAGGAAATATAGAGCACAACTAGTTTGGGTTATTGTTCAGTCATCATTTAAACCACTAAATGATGAGGGTGTTGTTATTTTTTAAGTACTAAATGAATTAGTAAGTTTTTAAATTTTCAAACACAAAGTGCTTATGAAAGACCGTTAGGAACCCTTTCCAAATGTGAACCAGCCATTCGATCTATCCATCAAGAAATCAAACCACAGGAATGGTGGAAAGCCAACAGGCTTAATTTTTGTTTACCTTATAGGCACTCATGTGGTTAAAGGCTGGAGGGGTTATCATGTAAGAATAAAATCGACACTAGCAGTCAAATGTTTATATATGTTGCTCAGAATAATTATTCGGATTAAGAAAAATCCCAAATCTGCCATTAGGTTCCAAGTGATCCATGAGTCAGTTGCCAAAGTGTTGGCATATTAACGTGGCAGTTGAGATGATGTTCCTTTGTTGTGTTTTTTCATTCTATCTTCTGGTGTAGTATAAGTTTGTGAGCAAATGGGATTTACTATGTGTGTCATTTGTTTTTATTATTAAAATGGACAACCATACCCAGAAGAGAAAGTAATAGTCTTACCTGGCCAAGTACATTTTTTTGTGTTTGTAAAACCTATTACACATACTTTTATTGCTATAACTATGGATCATATTCTACCTTTTCCCCCATTTCCCATTATTTCATTAATGTATTTCCAGGAATTGACAAGGTCTGTAAATGTGAAATAGTTGTTCTGTAGTATTTTATCTTTTTAATGGTGTGAATTTTTTTAGTCATTTACCCATTAAGGGCATCAGTGTGATTTCTGATTATCTCTTATAAACAATGATGATAGAAAACCATCGATATATGGTTACATGATACATGATAATTGTCTTCTATTCTAATTGGTGATTTTTTTTCCACCTTTCATTTTGGAAATTTTGAAACCCATACACAAGTTGAGCACACTTAGTCTTTTTTGCCTAGATTTAGTCGGAGTAGATGGGCCATGTTTTTTAACCTTTTGGAGGAATTCCCTCTACCTGGTGACATTGTAAATAAAATCTTAAGTGAAGCAAGAGAAGCAGCTCAAGAAAGAGACTGATGATTGAGTTGAGAAAAATCAGAAAAGGTACATTGTTCATCAGTTCGTTCATTCCTTCCTTCATTCAGCCACAGGAGCACCCACCTTTTATTATCAACTCTTCTGTCTAGCAGAATGCCTGGAATATAATCAGTAGTCTATATCTGATTATTTAATGGATTGAATATTTGCTGAACAAAAGTGGTGGGAAGCAAAGAAAGTGGTCTGTTCCCTGCCGTCAGGTAGCCTCCCCTTTCAAATACAAATGTAATTATGATGAATTTCTCAGACTGGCTCTCTACACACACTCAAAACTCTGCTTAGGACTAGGTTTTTTGTTTGTTTGTTTGTTTTTGGTTTTTGGTTGTTTTTTTTTTTTTTTCCCCTCCTCTCTCTTAAACTTGTTTTGAGGGTTGACTTTCAATAGATTGCCATGAGAAAGCTGCTGCACTACATGTGAAATGAGATTTCCTCCCATCTCTTTTATAAGAATCTTGTCTTGCCTCCTGCTGGGTCTAATCTTCATTTTATCTGATTAAGGAAGAATAAGGGAAAGGGATAAGTGATAACAATCTTTGTTATCTTGTGCTTTCCGTGCATTAGGTGTTTAATAGATCATTTCAATCTCAACAACTCAAATCAGGCATTATCCTCATTTTCAGACTTGTCAAATGAGGCCTGGAGAAATTAATTAATCTGCTGAACCTGACACAGTTAATAAGATTTAGGGGGAAGATTCACACTTAGGTCTGCCAGTCTTCCAAGCTTCAGAGAAACAACCTGCTACCAATGGAGATGGTTACATTACATTTTGTTTGTTTCTAAACGTTTCCTGTGTTGAGCAATGCTGTGGTGAACATCCTCCTATATAAAACAGCAGAAGTTGTCTGAGCATTGGCTTTGGAACCACCGTGCCCAAGTTCTAGATACTTAGCTTTGAGCTGTGTGACCCTGAGCCTTTAGAGCAATGTTGAGGACATAGCAAGTGTTATGTGACACCTGCTGTTAATATTTTCATTGTTGCAATAGTTCTAAAAGGAAAATATTGAGTTTAAAGCAGTTTTAGGAACTTGATGCATATACCAAATCCTCTAAAAAGATTGTATTGATTTGTAATCTCTCAGGAAATTCAGGAGAGATATAAAACTTCTAAAACTTATACTAGTTATATGCTCAATAAAACTAGCATTCTAGTTGTAATATCTAATTTTGTTATTAGTGATTTGAAAGATTACTTTTTGCTGTTAGGTTTATAGTATAAGGGAGAATGTATTCTTTAAGCTTCTTTCTCCAAGAATGTTCCCTTTCACATTCATTCAACAGCCAATTATTGAATTTCTCTTCTAGGAGTCTTCATACTGTCTCAGCTGTTCAGAAATCTCCCTAGAATTGACTTAGATTCTTGCCCCTAAAAGGCATTTACTGTGTTCACATACATGGATCTTTTATAGTCTCTGGCCCTTAACTGGGTAGATTTTAGCTAGTGGTTTACCCTCAAAAAATCACGCTGTATATAAAATTTAGGTACAATTCTTGGTTTTCTGTCATACTCTGCTCATTTCCCAGATATGGTCCTAATACCAATTTCTTGAGATCCTGTAGAAAATGCTTAATGTAATGCAGATATTAAGAAAACCATTAAAATCTAGGAATCTCAGTCATAATATACCAGTTTGTGTTGTGAAGTTATATAAGGTTAGCAAACCTTTCCTTTTTGATATGAAATATAAAGCCCCTGAAACATCTAACAGATTTTTATTCCAAATTTTAAATCTCTCTAAACGGCAATACTCTAAAGCCAAGTAACCTTTGAAGCTTTTATGAAATAATGGTGACAGCCAGCATTAAGTGAATTTTACTTTTTCCCTTATGCTTTACATGTTACAATCATCCTAACAATAGTATGAAATACCATTATTATCACCCTAATATATATGTAAAGAACTGAGAGTAAATAAATTATCTATTGTTAGTAGGTCACAGAGATTGGACTGGAACCACAACCCATCTTGTGACAAAGACTGAACCTTAAGCCCCTTTCTGTAAAGTTTCTCCAGCTACCTTTTTCTCTGTTCTTGTCTCCCTTGACTTGTCTTCTGCTCCTCCATCTGTACCCCCTCACCCCTGAGAAAGGGTCTGTATTAAATGTTCTTTTTGAGCTGATACTCTCCCATAGAATTTTGTGGTCCTTTCTCAATAAATTAAAAGTAGTTTGAATTTCCTCTTTTGATGTAGAATTAGGATTCCCTCTCCCCCCCCCTCCCCGTTCTATGTGCAAAAGCTCTTTGATTATGAAGCAAAAGGAGAAAGCTTGCTATTTGCACAGGTGTGTCACTCCCCCAACCCGACTGCCATGTTGAGTTTAAGATATTGAGCTAAGAATGGAGCATCTCATTAAGGGCATACTGCCCCCTAGGGGGAATTTAGGTGAAAGACCTAAAACCAAGCTGTTTTGTGCACAAACATGAAACAGTTTATATATATATATATTGAACTTT